ATTTCACTCTCTGAAATAGCCTATTTTGGGTGACAAACTCTATAATTGTCCTACAGGGAAGATTTAAAATATCCATGCATAAACTGGAACTACATTTCCCAGAATTCTCTAAAATGTAAAGGTCCAGGTAGTGGGGCGGTTAGCAGAACTAGCATGAGCTGTGCAGTGGTACTGCAGCTTCCTGCAGGCGGGTGCAGGGTAGGTGTTCCCACAGCCGTGTGCCTGTGCCCGCAGTGGTAGCAGCCAACCACTTTCCATGTCGCCTGCACTTCCCCTGAGTGTCCTCTTCCTGGGCATTTGTAAGCCCTGACCGAGAGCTCCTAGCTGAAAGGCACCAGAAGCTAGCAGCTCACAATCATCATTCTAACTGAGGTGACTGGACCCAAATGAGCTCTATTGTTTGTCCTCATCTTTTCCTCTCTGTGTCCATCTCCCCTTCCCAAATTCCAGCCTGATGATTTCAGACTCAAATGTGTGGCAAGGGACCTGCGTAAACTGCCAAATGGCCTCCCATCTTAAATCCTGTTCTAGCTCACTCAGCATGGTCCTGCTACTCTTGGCAAACTTTGACAGCAGTACCACTGTTTGAATATTATCTGGACATTGCATTTGGTAAAAAGTTGGTGGGAGGCCTAGGTGACATCTCTTCCCCGAACTGATGAACTTGGTGTCCTGAAGTCTGCCTCATGTATTAAGAAGGAGCAACCTCACATACCATGTAGAATAGAAAGCAAGGTGTTCCACCTGTTTTTCACATGAGGAGTACAGATCCTTGTAGCGTTAGCTTGTGGGGTACAGAGGCCTAGAGGAAATCCAGGCTTCTGAAAACAAGCCCAGAAACACTGGTGCTGCTTGTGCTTCACAAGTAGAGAGTGCGTGTGGAAATCAGATCCAACTCTGAAAATATGAGAATGGAATGTTACCTAGAGGGAAGTCACTCTTCTCCATGCAATAGCATACGTGCTCATGAAAATAACTGGTTACTCTGTAAACAACTTGTAACGGCTCCAGGTGTTCACCTGCTCCTCTCAAGCACCACTGAGCAACTGAAGACCCAGGGGCCGCTCTCCTGACTCTCTCCTTCAGGACCCTGTCAGCATGCTTTCTTCCACTCCTCGCCTTGGCTTTAAAGCATTACAATTGGGGAAGTTCAAAAGTTGCATCAGAATCATGATATCAATCCCCAGTACCAGTTGAAATTAACAATTAAAATTAACATTAAAGCATGAAGTATCATAAATATTTTGAAACCCTTTAAAGCAAATTTTTTTCTATGAACACGATATAAAAAACAGCTTGGATCTTGCTAAGTGGATGAATGGAATTAAAATTTAATATAAGTAAATGTGTCCTGTCCACCAAAAGACTATGATAGATACAAGTTTTATACTATAATTATGCCACATCCTTGAATTTATATTCTTTCAATTCCAGATTCCATGATTTAAATTTTAATGAGCTAAAAGCATTTAAATTTCTTACTAGAAGCGTTCATACATTTCTACTTTTAAATTTCAAACTTTCTGATTACTTTTTCATTTCAAATCTATTGATGAATTTTTATTTTCTAAAATATGTGCATCATCGTTTTCTTTGTACTTATTATTAAAATATTTGCTTCTCAGCGGGATTACTATAGGATACTCTTTATATCTGATTAGTTATCTAGAGAGTAGGATTTGCCCATATAAATTCTGACAGTGAGACCTTGTAGCAGGCAGTCTCCAAACCAGCCGTAACTGAGCTCTGTCTGCCGGCAGAGCCTCATCCCTTGTATCCCCTCTCCCAGCACCAAATGGAACCAGCTTGTGTAAACCACATGACGGCAGAAATTGAGTAGGGGGTTTCTAAGTGTGTGCTACAAAAGCACTGTGACTTGGGCTCCCCTGTCTCCGGTCACTCACTCAGGCGCAGTCCACCTGACCTGCTGTAAGCACACAGCAGAGTAACTCAACATCGTCACAATGCTAGCCTGGAAGTGGGCTGCAGTCCCTACTAAAACCTTTACTGCAACCGCACCATAGGCCCTAAGACAAGACCACCCAGCTGCCCCACTTCCAAACCCTGGACCCCCGCATGATAGGTTAAATAATAAAGGGTTCTTGTTTTAAGCCACTTACTTTTGAAGTAACTTATTCTTCAGTCATCAATGACTATCACAAGGTATGCAAAGTCTAATTTCATCTTAGGAGCAGTTTATTTTTATATTCTAATTCTATTGAATTTACTTATTAATTTTAAAGCAGATCAAAGTATTTAAATTAGATAAAATTTTACATTTATGTTTCATCACAATGTAAAAACCTGCTTCAACATCAAACTGTCAGAATTCTTGGTTCCTTAAAGTAACACGCATTAGCAAATCTATGTGGTAAGCACTCATGTCCAATGATGAGTACAACAGTCCTTGCTTGGACAAGTTGGGACTTCTAAGAGGGACAAATCAAGAGATGTTTATAACAGAGAATGTTAATTGTTCTTAACATAGGTGTCCCTAAGTTGCTAGAAGAACACAAATAAGGTACAGTATATTGTTCCTATGAAGTCTCAGAACACATCACAGGAGAGAGAGTAGGTCTTCAAGGAAGAGTAAGTATTTTCAAGATAGAATATTGAACAACGAGTCTCCACTGCTAGTGGTATGAATATAGATACTGCACTTATGATAAACCACTTCAAATGCACTGCCTTGTATGATCCTCAGTCTTACTCCCTAAGCAACACTAGAACGCCCACTCGCCAAATGAGGAAGTGGAAGAAAACAGAGGCTAAATCACGTCCCCACTAACACAGAGCTTGCAAGCAGTGAGGTCTGGACTGAAAACCAGGCATGGGAGGCACAGAGTTCATGGTTTTAGCTGTTCACTCTCACTCTGTCTGCTCTACCAGGCATGGAGTGCAAGACACAGTGGGGTGGGAATTTTTAGTTTGATGAGGTCAACAGAGAAGGCTGAAAAAGAAGGGAGCAGATGCCCCACGGGAGGGAAAGGAAGAGCAGAGCCACAGAACCGACCTCCCTCCCAAGCAGGCAGTTGTACTTAGGCCACTGGATCCAGCTGTGATTTAGGCAGATCCCTTCTCAGCATTATTAAGGGGCAGGGACTAGGTTGAAAGAGCCTAGAGGAGAATGAGTGTGTACCCTCAAAGAGAAGGGACGCATGAAGGGTGGTGATGGAGACGTGGGGTTGCAGGAAGAGATCACATTTGTGGGCTGGTGAATCTGGAAGTCGTGGAGTCTGGCAGTGCTCAGATCCAAGGACGCTTCTGGAAGGAATTCAGGGTTTTCCACTAAGGAACGAATAGGCAGTCACGTCATAATAAACACAGGAAATGGAAGGAGAAGGAAGAAGAAGCCTCACATTGAAGATGTGCTTACTAATCCCTGAAGGACTACGCAGTAGTAACACGGAGGCTATTTTTTTCCTATTAAGTATAATGCCAGTGGCATAGATACAGGATTATCCATAGCACTGCGTAGCAGTGGTTCAATGGAAGGTATATATGGTATTTAAGGATTCTGATATGAAAATATAGTTGTAGGTAGCTGTGCTTTTTATTACTGAAGAATAACTTGTTTTCAGTAGCAACATCTATATTATACATAGAAAAATAATTTTACAAATATTAGATTTATGTATATGTACTATAAAAGCTAAGGCACCATATTTTATGATCATATTTGGTTATAAAACTTAATTAAATGAATCATAGTAAAAGAAAGGTTAGGTGAAATATTAAAGTTCATATAGGTTCAAAGGAAATGGAATTTCCTAGCATAATGCAACTTTTTCACTTAAAACTCTAAATCACAATCTTCTATGGGAGACAGCTCAAATGTGTATCCTTCTTAAGAGCCTACATTGCCCTAAACTAAAAGCATTGCCTTTGTAGAGCAGACATTTACAGCAGGATAAATTGGTCCCTGCCTTGCTAGACATCACGGACAGGGTCCATTCTTGCTGATGCTTCCCATAGTTTAACTGCCAACAATACACACGGCCCACGTTCCCACAGTCACAGCTCCTGTTCAAACAGGAGAGTCTGTGCCTTTATGACATTTATATTGCATTCCTTTTGGTTTTTGTGGCAAAGCTATTTCTTAACACATTTTCTGATAAGTAATGGCTGAGTGAAGTCAGTGTGAAACAGAGGGTCCGAAAGCACAGAGAATGCAGCTTATGTCTGCGTCCTGCTGATGCTACTTCTATTGGGAAGAAGGAAATGGAGGATAACTCATTCCTCCACTCGTGAAACAGTAATTGAGCTCTCAATTCACTCCTTTTTTCCAGGAAATCACCACCAATAGTGAGTGTCAGAGGTTGAAATAGATACATATAGTTTAAAAAATACAAAAATGCTGAACAAAAGATGAACAAGGTGCTCAGAATCTCATAATGAAAAATCAGCTTTTCTGCCGTATTCCTCTTTACTCCAAATCCATAATGATATATGGATACTCAAGGTGTAGTGTCTCATTACAAGTAATCCTGGGGAAATCCTTTGAATGGTCTCTGATTTCAGAAATTTAAAATAGGATGACGGCAAAGAGTCTATTGGTAAAGAAATCTTGGGACTAGATGACAAGGAGACTTAGAAATAATTTAAAACATTTTCCATTTGCCGGAACGACTATTTGTTTGGTCTGCTCTGCTTGTACGTGGCCAGGCATGACATCCACAAATTATTCCTTATTAATGCTTGATAAATACCAGTTGCAAAGCTAATTCTCTACCTAGGCTTTTTAATCATTATTTTTACAAAATTGCCGCGTTTAGCTTGTACTCAGCGCTAGAACTACAGATACAGATTTCATTTGTAATCAAACACATCAAAGAGAATGGAAGGAAAGGGGAAGGTGAAATCTGACCTCGGAGCACCTCAAGCACACTCGTGGGTGCTGTGGCTCTTACACTAGTTTCTGGTGGAGAGAAAAAAATAAGAGCTTCAAATGGGGTGAGCAGCGTTCATTTGATTTAAAAGCTAAGTTGCACAGCTCTTACCTGAGAAGTTTTTGTAATCCACTAAGTCAAACATGACCACGGCGACAGCCGACCACGTGACGATGAGGGCGATGACCAGCAGCCAGGCAGCAGGGGAGCTGAAGGTGGTCACTATGTCCTCGGTGACTGTCCTCTTCAGCACCTTCCCCGTGGGCCTGGGCACCGATCCGTTTTTGCTGTCTATCACGGTGGTAGTTGTGGATGCATTTCCTGGTCCAACATTCAGAAAGAAAAACACGGTTGAGAAAGGGACACCAGAAAGCCCACTACCGGGTCTCACATCTGTCTCGGGCATTTTCTGCAGGGAGCGCGCTAGGCGGGAGCAGGGCTGTGTCTCATCTCCCCGTCCACATCCTCACTCCCTGGCCTTTAACTTCACTCTCGGGCAGCCATGAGCACCTCTAGTTTCCACGGCCCCACTGTGGTCCCCTACACCCACTGGCATAAAGAGCAATGGTCTTGTTTGTTGTTGTTGTTGTTGGGGTTTTTGTTGTTGTTTTGCCAAAACATCTTTTCACAGCCTGTGCCTTTATTGAGGATCATGTCAATCACAAAAGCAAGAGAAAGCACCTCAGCAGAGGGCCAAAGTCCCTGAGGGGAAGTGAGGGTGTAGCTCAGTGGTGCAGAGCTTCCCCAGCCTCACACTCACACACTCACACTCACACACACTCACATACACGGTGACACTGCTTCTTGAGATCCTGGCTTAACTTTACAATTGGTACTTCTATCAATGTCATCAAATGTCTTTGGGGGTAGCTAGAGCAAAGGAAAAAAATAATGTTGAAATAATTCTAATAATAGCCAGTAGTTTTCTGTTCAAGTTTCCACAAAACTCTTAAGTGTAAGAGAAAATACAAAAGCACAGGAAGAACAATAAATGCATAAACAAATAGATAAATATAATTCCTAATCTCACAATGCAGCAACAATTTCTGTCAACAGGTTGTGTTCTGCACATATGCACACATATGTGACCATATTTTTATTTGTTCTTGACAAATCACCATCCCACTGTCTTTCACAAATGTTTCTAGTTAATATACCGCAAATAGGCTCTTGTGGCAGAGGCACCTTTTAAAAGTACCACTCATGCACTTGTGCAGCTTGGCATTTCAGAGCTGCACATAATTCAGTCAAACAGCTCCCCACACCATTAGGATATGGCAGGAAATTTCCTGGTACACTGTAATAATTGTTCCTTTAGGAGACATTCCCAAGTAAGGAACTGTTAAATTCAAAAACAGAAACCACACATCCACATTTGAAAATTCATATGCTTTTAACTGCCCATGGCAGTAGTCTTGCTGCCCTAGCCTTGCTGGTCCTGTGTATCTATATTATCTAACACATTTATAATCATGCAGGAAGAAAATTGAGCTTCATTTGCAGTTTATGGATTTAAGTTGTTAATATGCTTATTTTTGTCGCTCTCCACACTTCTACTCTGGTGAAGTTTTCCATCATTTTCCTAAGCGATTTTATACATAAAAACACAAATGATAAGGGCTGGGGATTTAGCTCAGTGGCACAACACCTGCCTAGAAAGCACAAGGTCCTGAGTTCAATTCCCAGTACCAAAACAATAAAAAATAAAGTAAAACAGAAAAGTACAGTAAACACACAAAAGATTACACTTTAATTTCTGGCTGTGTTTTATCTTCTATTGTTCGTCTTTCCCCATTATAATACCTATGTGTACAGTGTGATGCTGGACCATTTCCTAACTCATTTTTCCCTGTTGAGGGTGCTGCCATTGTAATCTGGAAAAGCCCCTCATTGATGTAGAGCCAGCCTGGTTATCCTGACATCCCGACTCACAGAAAGTTGTATCTAGCAATAATTTTGAGGTCATCAGAAACCATTTCTTATGTTCCTTTAGGAACAATTGAAGACCAACCAGACTCTCACAGCATTCGCAATCCCAAATTGCACACATGCAAAATAAGTAACTGAATACTAAAGAGAAAAAATACCAGTGTAAGCATATTGTGCAAGAAGCACAAGATTCTGAACTATTTATACATTAAATACAGACCACATGTCCAAGGCAATTTAATAATTACCATTCAAAAAACAAAATACTCTATTAAATATTATTATATTCTTTTCAATTTTACTATTGTTCCTAATTTACAATGTTTCTATGTGCTAGATATAAAAGCAAATCTAAATTTTCAAGTTTCTTTGACATTTTTGTAAAGCAAACTCCACTTAATTGAAAGCTTAGTGATAGTTTCTCCTAGAATGTTCTACATTATAACTGGGAGGGTTAGTCTTGTGAAAATGAAATAAATTCTCTGTAATCCCTAAAGATCTCCAGGTGGCACCACGGTGCCCCTTTCCATTTGTCAGCCTCTTGCTCCATCTCTGCAATTCTGACTTTCAGTTATGTATAGCTTTTGTGTGGAAACAGTAAAGCAAACAAATATTGCAAAGTCTTTTTCTGGTGCTGAGGCTTCCAGGGGGTTGAATCCAGGCCCTTTGCAATGAGGTGTGTTTACTTTTTGTCTTGCTTAAATGCAAAATACACATTTAAATACAAACTAAATTCAAGCTTAAATACAAATACCAAAAAAAAAAATTTACTTGTGCGGTTTAAATTTTCAGAGAGAGTCTTGCTAAACAGCTAAGTTGGCCATGCTGGACCCAAACTGGTGACTCTCCTGATTCACCCTCCCGAAGTGCTGAGATTACAAACCTGTGCCACTGTGCACAGCTAAGTTATATATTCATGGAGGAGAGATGAGGACTGACTTCTGGTTCATCCTTGTGTTACCTGGATCGCCGGAGGGTCACCTCTACACTACTCCCAAGAACAGCAAACAGCTGTGTGTGACAAAGGAAAATGGCTTTGATTTACCGGTTTGTGCTATGGGAAGAAAACTCGTGTACACTCTGCACATTTCCTGGTACGCAGTAATTATTTAATGAATGGCAGCACGAGAACCCGTAAAGGGCATCATCATCATTGTCATCATTGTCACTACTGCTGCCCCCACTCCAGTGCGTCTGCGGTTATGACTCTGCTACAACTATTAGTAGCTTCACAGGGAAAGCCTGGAAAGTGCGATTAGCCTCGGAAAGCGAGGCAGATGGCCTGACTCCAGTAAACACAGAGATTTGTTTCCACTTAATAAGCACTTACATGAGGATAAGGTGTGCTTAGGGAAAGAAAAGGAGTGCGAGCCCCCATCAGCATTCTTTCCAATCAATTAATTAATTCCTTGTAATATAAGGGAAAAGTACCACATATTGTAATTTATTCTTATAATTAGAGGCTGTTTTGCCCCACAGGCAAAATTAAGAGAGATGATCTATAGCAAATGAAGTTATTTCATTATAGCCCAATTGTGACCAGTGTAAGCGAGTTCTTAAACTAGGAAACCAGAATTTGAGCCCTCTAAGCAGACATGTATGGAGCATGCTCAAGTATAAATCTAGTTCATAAGACAACTTTTATGCATTAGAGGAAACAATGAAATCACAGTATGCAAAGCTGAGCACTTTAGTTAATAAATTCTTACTCTATTCCTTTCTTTTGTGGTGCATTTCATTTCTTACTACACTTTTCTTTAAGACATCAGACAAACAATGTAAAATTTTCTGAACCCTTCCCAAAAAGAAAGTCCAATACATTCAAACGTACACATTAGCAACCAAATGCAACTCATACAACTGTTTCTTTGGTAATAGTTTTGAATCTGAGTCCATATTTTCAAAAGACTAATAAGTTACTGAGGCACAGCACTGGAAAAAGATTTAAGATTTGTGAATGCTTTAGGTAGAAATTAACAATCCTGACAACAAATCTCCTTTCACTTGTAGAAAAGCTGTGGGAATAAGCATTCCAAGCTCACAAACTCAATTTAGTAGAAATGATAGCAAGATGGAAAGACACTTTTATGATAAATCTTATAAACTGTACTTGAGGTGTTGTTTACCGAAGGAGAAATTAGAAAGAAATCATATCATATCTTCTCATTGATTTTCAAGCCAAATTCCCACCACTCCTAATGGTAGTTGTGGAAATGAGTGAGTGCCAGGAGTGCTCTGTAATGAGATTTAAGACCCAAGTGGGCCTGAAGTGAATCCAATCCCTAGAATACCGGTTGGCAGGAGAGTGAGGGAGGTGCAGGGCTTTGGAGTGGCCCACCTGAAAGCTGATGGGTTGCTAATCTCTGGCCTTCTTATGGAGAGAGCGCTGTAAGAATTGTTTCTGCACCTCCAGTTCACTTCAGGGTGTGACGTACAGGGTGCAAGATAAGGTCACATGAAACCAAAAGTACAAGTTTATTCAGATTTAGCATAAATGATTTAAATCTTGAACAAATTCTTAAAATGCAGAAAAACTTTAGAAAAAGCATGAATTTCTATATTTTTCTCTTTTGTCAGGAAAAAATGGGAAACTATAATATTAATAAGCAATACAAACCCAGAGTTAAATATGACTTTTATGTGTTTTGACCACATTTAAATTCCAAATTTTAGTTTGCTTTGCGATTCTGCCAAGACAGTTGTGGTTCAGTTTTTAAGATGAAAATGATAAACTTAATTCTAAATTTTTATTATCTATTCTCATTTAAAATTAAGACTCAAAAGCAATGAAAATACCTTGTGAACATCTGACGAAAAGCAATAGACAAGTAATCCGAAGGTTATCTGCGTAAATAAAACTGTTTATTTGCCTCTGTGAACACGCTAAGACGTGTGTTCATTTTCCATTCATGTTCATTGCAGAAGCCACATTGAGCCAAGAAAAATAAAATTGAGGTGAATAAACTGTCTTCTCTGACAGCAGGTCATGACAAATGCAAGAACAGAGTATGTAATCTGAGATTATTTACTGTTTGAGAAGCACTTCGAAGATGACAAGAGGTAGTTATTGATACGAGAGAAAAAGTGAGCGGTACCAATCCTATCCTGCATAAACGGGACCACCTCCCTTCAGAGCTGGTATTTCAGCATCGGTGCAGAGCCTCGAGGCTGGATCACAGGACTCACAGTAAATAGTTTTACTTTGGTTCCTTTTGATCCCATACACATTCTTCTGAACAACAAAATCAAGTTGAAAGAATGGGGATCACCCTGAACTGCCATAAACTCAGCCCAATAAAGCAAAATGAGGGGTTGCTTAAATACCAGTTGCAGGCTCCACAGCCACATGATCCATGGGAGGATAAATCACAAACCTGGAGATAGGAGACTCT